CAGGTGGAGGTGTTCCTACAGCGCCTCACCGACAGCGTCCGCAGCGAGGGGTTCCGCTTCACCTACCTGCCCCGGGACACCGGTACCCACCCGGGACAACCGGGATAACCGGGATAACGGGATAACAGGATAACGGGGATAACGGGGATAACGGGGTACCGGGAACACCCGGGGTACAGGTGCAGGTACAGGTGCAGGTGGAGGTGTTCCTACAGCGCCTCACCGACAGCGTCAGGAGCGAGGGGTTCCGCTTCACCTACCTGCCCCGGGACACCGGTACTGACCCGGGATAACCGGGATAACCGGGATAACGGGGATAACCGGGATAACCGGGATAACGGGGATAACCGGGGTACAGATACAGGTGGAGGTGTTCCTACAGCGCCTCACCGACAGTGTCCGCAGCGAGGGGTTCCGCTTCACCTACCTGCCCCGGGACACCGGTACCCACCCGGGATAACCGGGATAACCGGGATAACCGGGATAACCGGGATAACGGGGATAATGGGGATAACGGGGTACCGGGAACACCCGGGGTACAGGTAAAGGTGGAGGTGTTCCTACAGCGCCTCACCGACAGCGTCCGCAGCGAGGGGTTCCGCTTCACCTACCTGCCCCGGGACACCGGTACCGACCCGGGATAACCGGGATAGCCGGGATAACCGGGATAACCGGGATAACCGGGATAACCGGGATAACGGGGATAACCGGGATAACCGGGATAACGGGGATAACGGGGTACCGGGAACACCCGGGGTACAGGTGCAGGTACAGGTACAGGTGGAGGTGTTCCTACAGCGCCTCACCGACAGCGTCAGGAGTGAAGGGTTCCGCTTCACCTACCTGCCCCGGGACACCGGTACCCACCCGGGATAACCGGGATAACCGGGATAACCGGGATAACGGGGATAACGGGGATAACCGGGATAACCGGGATAACCAGGATAATGGGGATAGCCGGGGTACAGGTACAGGTACAGGTGCAGGTACAGGTGCAGGTGGAGGTGTTCCTACAGCGCCTCACCGACAGCGTCAGGAGCGAAGGGTTCCGCTTCACCTACCTGCCCCGGGACACCGGTACTGACCCGGGATAACCGGGATAACGGGGATAACGGGATAACGGGGACAACCGGGACAACCGGGATAACCGGGACAACCGGGATAACCGGGATAACGGGGATAACTGGGATAACCAGGAACACCTGGGGAGAACCGGCATAAACGGGGTGTAACCCCGGTGTAACCCCGGTGTAACTCCCGGTGTAACCCTGGTGTAACTCCCGGTGTAACCCCGGTGTAACCCCGGTGTAACTCCCGGTGTAACCCCGGTGTAACCCCGGTGTAACCCTGGTGTAACCCCGGTGTAACCCCGGTGTAACTCCCAGTGTAACCCCGGTGTAACCCCGGTGTAACCCCGGTGTAACCCCGGTGTATCTCCCCGCAGACGCGTACCGGGTGCAGGTGAAGCGCAAGCGGGGAATGCCCGACCTGCTGGAGGAGCTCTCGGGGACAGGTGGGACTGGGAC